GCATTGAGCGTCTGCCCCCGGTGGTCAGTATGTATCATAGTGACCAGTGATTCCCATACGCTCTGCTGTTAGGGTCAACTTGCATATTACCTTTTTATTATATAGGATAGAGGCCTGGTGCATGGGTGGGGGCCGGCTGGTTTGCCCTGAAGGGTGTCCTGGATCAGGGTGGGGGTCCTGCTGGGGTGCCTGGCCAGTCTGGGTGAGGGGCTGATGGCTGTTTGCAGGCTGGCCAAGTCCCCCAGCAGGGATCCCCACCCCATGAGGGTGTGGCCAGTCTTGGTGAGGGGCTGATGGCTGTTTGCAGGCTGGCCACGGCTCTCAGCCACCCAAGCTCCCAGTGGAGGCTGGTTGGAAGCAGGTATCTGGGATTTATTTAGCTTCTATAATTGAAACTTGGTTGCCTTTTGCAGAGGCCACAGCCAGCCAGGGCAGGCGGGAAGCTTGGCTTCCTCCATCGCCAGGGCAACCAAGCTTCCGGCTTGCTCCAGCTCCATTGCTGCTGGTCACCATCTTGTTTGGATTAATTTGCATATAGTCGCTCTGATTGGCTGGTGGGCATGGCTTGGGCATAGTGAAGGTATGGTCAATTAGCATCTTGGTCTTTTATTAGTGTAGATGGTTAAGCTATGGAATAGATGGAGAAGGGACTGGATTTGTGAATTCATGATAAAATGACTATTTTTGTTTTCTTAAAGCATAATAGCCCAGCTGTATGGCTAAAAATACTTATAATTACATTGCCCAGGGTCAGGAAAATGTGAAACAGTCTTGGCTGGTGTTCGATTAAAAAATGCAACCCTAACCCTTGTGGTTCAGTTGATTGAGCACCATGCCATGCACCAAAAGGTCAACGGTTCTGTTCCTTGTGGGTTTGATCCCCAGTTTGGGTGCTTGCAGGAGCTGGCAGATTGCTGTTTCTTTCTCACATTGATGTTTCTTTCTCTTCCTCTCCCCTTCTCTCTCTCAAATCAATAAAAATATTAAAAAATATTACATGCAATAAATAAATTATTTGAAATTATATCTATGTTAAAAAAGGTGACTTTAAACTGAAACACACATAAAACAGAGATTTGTGTGTATTCTTTAGTTGATCAAAATGTTTTAACCAGAAATTTACAGGAGCATAACCTTATATTTTCCCTAGGAGCAGTGGCTCAGAATTCATTAACTCAGTGATCACAGTGTCTTTAACACAACCACCATAAATAGCAAGCATGTACTGTATACTCTCCTTGCTTTGGTCTCACTTCAGTCTTGACTGTCAACATGCTGTTCTCTTTTCTTGACCATCTTCTTTTTGCTTCTGTGACACACTTATACTGCTACCTCTCAGACTACACCAATATCAGTTCTTTTCAAATTTTAATGTACCTATGAATGCCTTTTGATTTTGCTAAAATGTGGTTATGATTCAGTAAGTCTGAGGTGAGGTGCAAGAATATAGGTTTCTAACAAATTCCAGGTAATAACTCTGCTGTTTGTCCCTGAGCCACACTAAATAGCAAGGACTATATTCTTCCTTCCTCTTTTGTTTAAAATACTTGGAGCAAAACTTTCACATTAGTAGGTCTCTATAGTTAAATTATTAGAATGGTCAGAGGTGCCCTAGCCCGTTTAGCTCAGTGGCTGGAGTATTAGCCTGTGAACTAAAGGGTTTCAGGTTTGATCTCAGTCAGGGCATGTACCTCAGTTACAGGCTCAATCCCCAACCCAGGTTGGGGTGCATGCAGTAGGTAACCAACCGATGTGTCTCTCATATCAGTGTTTCTCTCTCTCTGTCTCTACCCCTTCTCTCTCTCTAAAAATCAATGGAAAGAATAACCTTGGGTGAGGATTAAAAAAAAACCAAAAAAAGAATGGTCAGAGGCAAAATTGTGTTTCTTCTCAGGAACTCAGAGAAGTAAGTTACTAAGGAACTAGTAAAGGGTTGAAGACTTAACAAAAAGAGCATAAAATGTCTCAATTACAACAAACATGTCAGGGAGATAAAGAATAAGAAAAGACTATATATTTGGCATAAATTTAACACAGACTTTTATTGAAAACATATTACATTTAGTTAATACACTTTGTAAATGATACAAACTTTAAAAAAGAGATAGACTTGAGAGAAACCAAGATGGCGGCATAGGTAAACACCTGAAATTGCTGCCTCGCACAACCACTTCAAAAATACAACTAAAAGACGGAACGGACATCATCCAGAACCACAGGAAGGCAGGCTGAGTGGAAATTCTACAACTAGAAGGAAAGAGAAAAGCATACTGAGACTCAGAGGAGGTGCGGTGCGGAAGTAAAATACAAAGATGCGGAGGTGCATGCAGAGAGGGCTGGCGGCTGAGGACACGATTGTCTTTTTCACTCGGGAGGGAGTCTCAGGCTCTGAGCTCCAGTTCTGGGCGAGTCTCTGGGGACCCATATTCATATGGGAGAAACCAGACTATCTGGCATCGGTCAGAACTCGAGGGCAGCTTTCTCTTGGAGGCACTCGCAGCAATTGCCCGGGCCTCTGAAGGCAGGACTGAGAGCAGCCATACTGCTTGCTCCGCCCGCCCTGTTGATCCCCTGGGACCTTGCCCCACCCAAGCACTGAACAGAGGCTTTTGCATATGAAAGGCCCGGCCCTTTGTAATCTGAAAATTACTTAACAAACTGCAGCTGCCTCCAAAGCCCCAGGGCAACTTGCATTGCCTTACAGCTGGCTTCTGCTGTGTATCCTCAGGCAGAGGCTAGATTAGCATCTCCTTAGATCCAAGAGCCAGTGTACCCAGTGGTCAGAGCGGGACCATCCAGTTACAACTCAGATCCATAAGAGACACACTCAGGGGGCAGACTCAGTGAGCACCAAAGCCCCACTGAAGCAAGTCTTGGCCCATAAGGGTGTCTTCAGCACAGAAGTTCTTCCACCGTAGATACAACTGATTCTCACAGCCAATTGGCCTGGAGGTCAAATCCTCCCAGTGTTACCCACAACAATCAAGGCTTAACTACAACAAGACTGTGCACAAAGCCCACAAGGGGGTGCACCAAGAGTGACTATCTCAGGTAATTGGGGTGGCTGAGCCACTGGGCCCTATAGGACACTTAGCACAGAAAGCCACTCTATCAACACAAGGAAGCAGCCAAAATGCAGAGACAAAGAAACATGTCACAAAAGAAAGAAATGGAAGAAAGCAAACTACTGGATATAGAGTTCAAAACCACAGTTATAATAAAGTTACTCA